CCCAAAGATAACAGTAACCAAAGTAGCTATAAAAGACAGCTTTTGTTGACAACTATTAGTATAAAATTATAATAGTCGTGGGATTCAATATTGTCATTGTAAATGCATGATTACACTAGTGAAGTCTTGCTAAACTTCAGAAACAACTTCCAGAGCCGAGAGATCTAAGAGTCTGCAGTATACGTTGCATTTGTGATTCTTGATGAAGTTATCGATTCCCTGCACGCTCGTGTTGCCCGTACAAAAGAGAAGTTCCGATTTGTCATCTGTGAGTTCGACAGATGCAATTTCGGGATCAAAAAGCTCATATGCGCAACCTTGAATGTCTAGCAGCATTAGTTGTTTATTGGAGCGCTCAAAGGAAAAATGCACTAGGCATTCGGCTTTTTCGGTAAGTGTTTCGCCTTCCTTACCACAGATCATGCCGTCGTTATTTACGTACTTGACAAATGTTCCTTCTACAAGCTCTTCGATAGTGACGAATTCGGAATTCCTTTCACCGAGGAAAATCTTCTTATAGCGGTGCGTCTCGCCAAAATCTTCGAAGACATCCTTTTTGTGAAGTTCTTCGAGCAGTTGCGACGAAAAGTTCCTTGCCAAATTATCCATTTGAATAACTTTCTTTGATTGCTGTTCCACGGTTTGTCCCACCATTTGTATGTCTTTGACTGCCTGAGGGAGGTAGCGTTTCACAACCCACTTTTTATCCCCAAATTCCCTGTCGAAGCTGGTGGCTTTAAAGGCTTYGCGGAATCCTCYAGTTCCAAATGGTTGGGTGTCGATTAAAAAATCGACACTTCTGCACTCACTAGACCAAACCATAGATGTCATGTCGAAGCTGTGTAGCTTRATACTCGTGTATTTGTTGTTAATTGTTCTTYCGAGCCGTAACATGTCTACCACCGATAGGCTTCTTGGCACGAATCGGCTTTCCGCAACGGTTAATTTGACATCGCGGGGAGTTTTTTGTGGACTTGAGGCAGGAATAACCTTTCTCCTTTTGGGGGATGTCTCGGAGGCATTAAAGGATTCCCTTGCGGCATCCAAATCGCCGTGTTCTACAAATCGCACGTGGATRACTTTGCTTATGTCCGGGATTTGCTTCACTGTAAAGCACGATGGGCCTTGCTCACCGGCCAGAACGTCGCAATCCATTGATGGGGGGATCTGAAAGTGCTTCACACACGCACCTTTGATGTTCTCGATCGTCAGTTCCTCATAACCTTTAAACGGGACAAATTCTCTTGCCCCTATACGTGAATATTTTTGTGCCTTTCCAGACACTTCGGCACTCAGCCTTTGGACAGTGAGAGTATCTTGTTCGTCTTTGCCTTTGTCTTTACTGATCTTTTTTTGGTTCTCTTTTCCTGCATGTTTTTCTTAAACGTATTCCACCTTGTTTCCTCCGTCATGTTAACAATAAAGTTGCTAAAATCCAGTGACAATACTACAATAATAACTGCTCCGTCGCCGAAGTCACTGCGGAAGACAGTCACTTTCGGCGAAATGCATCCTGGTCTATAGCAGCTCTAGGCCGGCGACACCGATTTAAATCACTTTCCTTTTTTTTTTCATTTTTATTGTTTTTTTTTTATAAAATGGAAATAAAATCGAATTAGAATGAAATTAAATCTGAAATACGAATAAAATCAAAA